AAAGTATTTATATAGTTACTTTATAGTTACTTCAAAGTAGTTCTAAAGTTGCTAAATTAGTAGGTTTCTGTAAAGTATGTTTTAAATAATTATAAAAGAAATAAAATATCTTTTTAAAGTTTAAAATTTTAAAATTTGTTTTGGAAAGTTTTGACCTATTAGATTTGATAAGTTTTTAATTAAGTATAATAAATTTTATTTTGCTAAATTAGCAAGATTATATAGATCTTTGAAGAAAAGATAGTAAAAAAGTAGTTATATAAAGTTAGTTAGATAAAAAGTCAGAATTGTCTATAGTTGAATAAATATATTTAAAAACAGGTGAAGTTTAGCAAATTGTTTGAACAAGTAAGTATTTAAGTTATAAAGGTTGTGTATAGTATTTGGTATAAGAACTGTATATTTAGTTAAATCTATATATATATATATAGTGTAGTATAGTTTAGTAGTAGTATTTATATAGTTTTAAATAGTTAAAATAGTAAAAAATAAGTTTTTAAAAATATTTTTGTATTTATTATTTATTGTTATTATTATTTAAAACTTGATATAATTATAGACTTTTTATTCATTAATAATATTGAACTATTTTTTATAATATTTAAAAAATTTTAAAACTATATATCAAATTTTGTTAGAAAAGAAGAGAAAAAAATATAATATGTTAAAAATTTTGTAAAAATTTATTAATAGAAATATTAATATAAAATCTAGAGTTGTTATAGATTTGAAATATAGATATATTTGTGCTTTTGATTTGGTTAATATAGATAAATATATATAAATAAATTAGTTTAAGATCTTGAAAATTTTGTTGTAATAAATAGTTTGGTATTGGTTAGTAAAAATAAGATGAAGTCTAGCTATAATTTAAAATTATTCTTTGATAGAGTAAGAAGAAATAAAAAGATAAAAATTAAATATTTTTAAATAATTGAAATATTGAAAAAGAGCTGTAGCAAATACTAATAATAGTTTTTTAAAAATTTTAAAAATAATATTAAAGAAAATGTCTGTAGATTGAGTAACTTGAAGGTTATAAATTTGAATAAAATTTAGTTTTTTAAGAAGCTATTGTGTAGATTAAAAGATTGAAATTCTGAAAATAAGGGGTCCAATTGGAGACAGCAGCTCCATTAATGATATTATAATCATGATGATGAATTGGATATGGACAACCTGGATTATGGTGAAGTGAACCTAAGTTACTTGTTGAACCAGGATGAGTTGAACTTGAATTATTTGTTGGATTAAAATATGCATGTTTTGGATGCTGTCAGCAGACAGAGTTCAATTAATTACAAGAAAGAAAATTATAATTATATTTTTTGTATCGTATAAATACAGCGTCCTCCTATATAATCACCCAATTTATCTAGCACTTTTTGGTGATCATAGAGAGGGTGATTAAATAGAATTAATGAAATTACCTCTATATAATAACATAATATAGAATAATTATAATAATGTGATTTTAAAAAGGTAAAATAATATAAATTTTAAAATATCCATTAAATAGAATAAAATTTGTTATTTTTACTCAAACTTTGATGATAGATATCTTGATAACTATTAATCAAAATCGGCTCAAATGTTTACTATATATACTGTAGATATTAGTCTATTATATATAAAAATTTTAGCCAATTTGGTCTAGTAGATCTCGAGTAATCGATTGTATACGATAGTCAATTTTTTTAAAACAATTGACTATCGTAAACAATTGATTACTCGAGAGCTACCAGACAAAATCGGCTAAAATTTTTATATATAATAGAATAATATCTACAGTATGTATAATAAAAATTTGAGCCGATTTGGATCAATAGTTATTGAGATATCTATTGTCAAAGTTTGAGTAAAAATAATAAATTTTTGATTACTATAAATTTTTTTTTATTTTTACTTAAACTTTGACGATGGATAACTCTATAACTAGTTAATATAATTAGCTCAAATTTTTACCATAGATAGTGTCGATATACTTCTATTATATATAAAAATCTCAGCCAATTTAGTCTAGTATTTCTCAAGTAATCGCTTGTATACGATTATTATTTTTTTTAAAAAAATTGACTATCATATACAAGCGATTACTTGAGAAATACCAGACTAAATCAGCTGAAATTTT